CTATTGAAGCACTTGTCTCGACGTCTGCCAGCGGCGTGTGCGTTTTTTTGTAGCCCCAGCATTGGTCAGTAGGAAGAAAGTCGAGCAGATTTCATATTTCTTTTTTCTTCATCCTTTTTCTACGAATTTTTACCGGCAACACTCTTTCTCTGACCTTCACTTTCAAAAGGGTATACAGTGTTGAAGTTTTCACAGAATAACATTTCTCGATCTCACTCATACTTGTATTTCCTCAAAGACTGGGATGGAGAACGTCATATTTCCTTCTCTCTTACTGCCGCCACTCAATGCTTCATATGTTATGATAATCTGGGGGAAACAGAGAGAGAGCGACACCGAGAGTGAGATAGATAGAGAGGGATATAGTAGAGCTGCAGCCTTATTGTAGGCGTGTTACAGCTGAAAAGATTTACCTTAAGATTAAGAGAGATTAAACGCGAATTTATTAAATGATATTGCTGGTAATCCACACTGATTCAAAAAAAGCTCTTCGTGATATCTCCACTTCTCGAAACGGTTTTCCCTTCCAACCAAGGATGTGGGGCGAAGACTTGATCGGATGAGGGCAATGCGAGGTGATGCTTGGCTACAGGCGTTGTCTAAGAATCAGGTCTCGGATCGGAGCGAGCTTGCGCTTCATTTTTCCAGAAACGTTTGAACGATTCTAGAGTTGACTGGAATGACGAATGACCTGTATCAGCGAATGGCATTCTGAGTCATTCTGTGGGTTGAACACACGCTCAAAGCTCGCGACGTTTTCTTGGACAGCAAGTCATTGTACAGACCACAACGCGTCCAATAGGCCACTACGATTCTGAATTGAATTCGAATGCGGGGGGCAGCTCTCAGATGGGGTCGATAAATGTCGAAGATGTTTATGCTTCATACGGTTAACTGACGGTGTCGCCTCGTAGGCTCAGGGGAGTGCACAGAATATTCGAGACCGAACAATGAGAATGTTGGTAATGGTTCATCCTTCATTAGTTTAACTGAAACAGGATTATTTGAAGTCGTCCAACGGTTGAACGTTCTTCTACCCTCCGTCTAACTAGAATAGCAGTTTGATATTTGAGTTACGTCATTGCTGAGAAGATTTTCTGAAAACCTGCTGGGATTAACAACTGCTTTTGTCATCATAACGACTTAGAACATCGGTAAATACCAGCTTACCACATCAAGGATATAGTGGAAAGGTAAGCAAGAGGAGCTCTTGACAACAGCTTGCTCTTACTCCCTTTCACAATAATGAAAACAAGCTTTCCTACTTGTTTGATAGTTTTCTTCTATAGAATAATTACGCATTTTTTCTTTCGCCGACTCGTCTCTTAAGTTACATGTTGCAATGTTCGTCGCGCTTCCTTCCTTTTAGACTTGTGCCACTATATATTTCTAGTTTATTTACTGGTAAAATTTCTGACTGTTCTCTGAACCTTCCTTTGAACACTCATCACTCTCGTCTTTCTTTTCGCTCCCGCAGAAAAAGAAAGTCTCAGATAATGACTGCAGCGAACAATAGTTTGGCAGTTCCTCCATAGCGCAGGACCTGTTGCCTTTATTTTTCAAATTCTGCACTTCTCAATTATTAAGCTTGAATTCAATTGGTATTCTGTGAGAACAGTATGCAATCGCTCCAAGTAACACTCCACAGAAAACAGAACAAAGAGCCCCAGCTTGATCGTTTCCACCAGCACAGAGCTAGGTCATTAAATATTTGGTTTTCAGAAAGTATGTAGTTGCGATTTTTGAAACTTCCAAAGAGTAATTACACCTCTCATTAGAGGTACAGTTCACGATAAAAATATTTTCTGGGATCCCTTCGTAGGTGAGTTTGAGGCTCCTTTTTATATCGTACCTGCCGTTGTGAAATCGAAAAACTTCTTGTATAGTGCATAGTAAGGGGCTAGAGATTGCATCGTGTGAACGCCACACCCATAGTGGTCGAGTTTTGAAGGCGTTGTAGAGTTTCCAATAACTCGAGGGATTCCACTTACGAAATTCTTGCAACTTGCCATAATCCATGACGGTGTCGGACGTTTTCGGCTTAATGTAGTTAGCTCCTTGCGCATTCGGAGCAAATGAAATCTCGTCCAAACACCCCTTACTCGCCATTCCCGTCATGATGATCTCGTGCAACCTCTACTTCGACTACTTCAGAAAGCCTTGTTTTTCGCGATTCGCTCCCTTTTTTCGCCACCGATTTACCGCTCCACATCAACATTTTCAATTTTTTCTGTTGTAAAGGGTGCCTTGAAATTATCGTAAATCGTGCATTTAAGCCGGGCTTAATCAGTGATGTATATCTCATTTCGTTCGACTATGGTTTGCTATCCATCTGTTATTTTCATAACTCCACTTTCATGAAACTTCCGCTCTTCTCGCCAAAGAAAGTGGACCATATCAGAATTGATATCGATATAATCGGCACTTTTTTTGTTCATATAGTTCTGCGAAGACCGAATAACTGAGCTTCAATAACTTTTGAAAAGTCAACAAAAATGTGTGCGATCTAGCCTCGTTATAGTAAACCCTCTCCATCGTGACTCACTAGTTTTGGAGAGCTTTTTTGCTCGTTTCATGAAGTTCTAATAGGCAGGGGTCCAAAGTAAGATTGAGGTTCGTTGAAAACACTTCAAGCTATATCTCACCTTTGTAACTCCAACGAATTGGTGTCGTGACTCTGGACCTTGCCTGAGCAGGTTAATCGGTGTATACCATGACCTTTTGTGAGTAAAATTTAAGTAAATTATTCAATTTTATCAATAGCTGCTACTCGGTTTATAAATGGGTGGTTTTCATTGCTTTTGCAAATCGCAGACACTATCCTGTGGGGTCAAGTGTATCTCCCGTAACTCATGTGGAACCACAACACCTAGCCTTTTACTAGCCCAATTTTTTTCAGTATTCTCGCCAACTACTCCAATACATGCGTTGGTCTTCCGACTGTGTTACTACATGGGTTGCATAGAAGTGGGCTCCAGTTGACACCATTATCCATGCGTACTGGTCGGCAAGTAAAAATTGACAAGACGAAAATTTGCAAAACAGTTTGCATTATCCTAAAATCCTAGTCCTATCCTAAAAATAAAAATGGAAATGAACTGTTCAATTTTATGGTCGAAAAGTGGTAGTTTTCCAGGATTGTCCGAATCTCGCTTGTCCTTTTAGCTTTTGCAAGGGCAAACATAAGCTCTCCATCGCCGTGAGCCTTTTTCATTGGAACAGAACACGTGGCTCAGCTCAGAGGAAGGTGGTTTGCCCTATCGGGTTTCTTTGAAAATTGAAGAAACCGAAAACAACAAAACAAGATGGCTCAGAAAAAAGCTAGCTGAGAATCAATTGAAAATGAATGAACAATGAACACATCAATGATGTCCACCTCTGTATGAGGATTTGTTCGTAGCTACGAGGGGATAGGCAGCTCAGAGTAAAGGCGGAAGTTCACCGTTGAAAAAATTTTCAAGAGTACCCTTACACGATTGAGAGAAAAAGCTTTGAGGACTCTCACAGGTTCAGAAAGATTGAAGGAAAAGAGTGCCGTTTCTATTATTCGTCGTAAAATTGGTCTTGCGCTTTACTACTGTTAAAGACCGCGAGACATATACCTTAGTGGAAACTGTTTTATTTACTCGTTCGGAGATCTCTGAACTCTAGGACAAAAGGGTATTAGATTTGTAAATACGTTGGGAGTAATTGAAATGTGGCGCAAGGCGAACCATCCTTTCCTACTTCCTAGGGAGAGACTTCAACATATTGAAGAACACAGACAGACCTCACTTCCTAGTAGTGGTAAATTCACTTCTATGAGTACAATATTTGCTATAAGTGACGATAGGGTCACGCAGCCAAGAAAGAAACGATATCAGGCTTTTTCGTTCCTTTAACTTGAATAGCTTGATTAAGAGGGAGGTTTTTTCAGAAGTTGTTCAAAAGTTGAACATACCGTATAATCCAACTCGCCAAACTTTTCTAGACAGCGCTCCAGATTAATGAGTCTTCAAAGGTTTTTTCATTTCAATGCAGAGCAGTTTTAACTTAATGTGGGTGCCATGTTCTCCAATAGATTCAAGTCGTTAAGCCTGACAAACAGCAACGTGATCGATCGACGTCATGCATATCGTAATGTTAACAAATGCTTGAATGTGGCTGTATTGTTTACAAATAAACGTCTTTTGCTGGGTAGCCTTCGACTCTTGTTTTCTTATCAAATCGCGGAGCCAGCTGTAACTCCCAGCGTTCCTTCACTTTGCATTAACCTTAATCGTTGATACCCCTCAAGACACGAAGTGAGCTCATCACACGCAAGGTATGAACTGCCTTCTATCGATGGGAATCTTATTTATGTGCCAATGTGCACGATAGGGCTGCGAAGGTGAGCTATTTCTGCTGTTACTAGGGTTTTTCTGTTTACTTATATTTATAAGCGAATGAATTTTTGCTTACCGTAGTCGGTTATTCGCACCAGGACCCACACGTACACAGTGACCCACGCTGTATAGCTCGTCCAGACGCCCCTTTCTTCTTCATTCTTCTGGTCTCGTTCTCGTCTAGCCCCTTTTTGACGATTTTTCAAAGCCTTTTTTCTCTTTGGAAACACGTATTCACGCAGTCCCTTCGCCTTCATGGCACTATTTTCCATCTTTAGTTCCATTTTTTGTTATAAACTGGATTACCCAGAATTATCGTGAACTGTGCCTTTAACCATGATGCAACAATCAACATAATATGTAGCAATCTTGTGAATTACCAACAGAAACGGAGATCTTTACCTACAATCATGCCAACCATAAATGTAAATGTACCTGAGCTTTACCATTCCAACGAGAAAAAACGAAAAAGATGCGAGCTTGCATTTTTTTTTTGGCTTGATCTTGGCTGATATGCTCCGTCGATTACTGTACGAACATCAACTTTGACTTCTTGTTACATTACTTCTTCAGTGACCATGTCATAAACTATTTGCATGACTTTGCATCTTTCAGGATTTACAAGAACAGTTTCAAATGACTGTCACCTATTCACTAGATGTCGCTAACTCTTCATTCTTTTGTTTATACAGGTTGCTGTTCAGGTGGAAGGTTAGTCGGTAGTTACACGCGCTTTTTGCTGTTTTTTCCAATTTCCACTTTCGTATCACAAATGGGCAGCACCAAAGTGTGAGCACGACGCCGCACTTGCGTAGTAGCAGAATTTTGAATTTCATTAAAAAGCTGATGAGTGTGCACCTTTCTGTTTTTCGATAGGGACCTTGCTCATCGATACAAGACGGATTTGATCATCCCACAAATGTCTTACACAATAACCCGAACACACACTGAAGCGCCCCCTGTCACCAGTCACATATACGACACAACAGAAAGGTACCCTTTGTGAAGCAGGCAGGGGTCCGTCGTAGGGCACCAGGTGGTTGCTGTATCACACGTTCACGGCACGCTAGTTTCCATCTGATCTCATCGACTCGTCCGGTATTCGAATGTGATTGAAAAATCCAATTTTTTTCTCGGAAAATGAAATTTTTTCTCGCGTAAGTCACCTGAAGGGAAGCCATGAATTTCAAAAGAGGCATTTTAGGGATCAATATGGAAATCGATATGGGCAGAGTTGTTGGTATGGTTGGTACTTTACGCACTGCTCAGTATTATCTATAGAGTTGCTCTGACAAAACCACAGAGAGAGTACGTTTCTTTAAATAGCTTTTTTGAACCGAAAACTCAACGGTAACGAGAACCATCAAGTAGGTAGGGATGCAGATGGTCAAGTAACTAGTGAGAATGCAGAAAGCAAACATCTTGGAAACAGTAATGCCGTGAGGCGAAGTGGTTCTGATTCTGAACTGTGATCTTCATTTTTGAGTGAAAGACCAGCATCCAAAAGAATGGATAGGAAGTTGGAGAAATAAAGCGAGAACCACAAGCCATACAGATACTGAATGAACGTGCGAAATGTAGGCTACTTTGCAGGGTTTTCGAGGATCTATGCGTGTTTTTCGATACCTATTCCTCATTTATTCCAATTACATTTATGCTAGGTTTTTATGTGTCGGCTGTTTTCTCGCGATGGTGGCAAATATTCGATAACATTGGCTGGATTGATACGTACGTCCTTCTCGACATTGCCATGCGTTTAGTGCGTGTGTGTGCAGCATCCTGCTAAATGTTCATGCTATATAGTCCGCGCCTTTCTTAGATGGCGTGGTAGCCACACAACTGAGTACTTCCCAATGGTTACGTCACACAAGGGGTGCCACAGTGGTTGACGTCGATCATTTGCTTTGGTGTCAGACTGACGACAAGATCGAAAGCTCAGATTAATTGGATCAAAGCGATGCTGTAAACTTTAAGAAATAAAGCAGAACAGTAGTGCAGGGGCGGCACACAAGCGTATTATGAAAGATTTTTTTGTTCGTGTCTACTGATCCAGAGATATTTTAGGCCAGCCTTATGGATTACGCAGTATGTTCTTGGGAAGACCGAACGGGCACGTTTGTTACGTCGTACGTTGATACGGTACCTGGTTCTCACGCAAGCGATAGTGTTCCGTGATGTTTCTGCCGGCGTACGAAAGCGCTTCCCTACAATGAACCATCTTGTGACATCTGGTGAGCGATGAGAGTACTTCACATGTTAGTTCAGAAAAATTTGTAGTGCCGCGAACAGCCGGGGAGCTGCTTTTCCTGGATGATGGCTTGCTCATCGGGTGTATTGAGCCCTTTCACCTATGAAAGCGAAACATAACAAACTTGTCGCGATCATGCCACCCTTTGGACGCGATCCGCATCGGTTGTACTNCCCCCCCCCCCCCCCCCCCCCCCCGAGGACCAAGGGGCTCCTGACTGGGGAAAACCTCCGTCCTGCCCCGCGCCCCCGCCAGGATCGCCGCGACGGGGATCCCTGCCCCCGCTACGGGAACCAGTACTGTGAACGCGGCGATAAACCTACTTCTCCCCGTCGAAACTAGAATGCCCTACCTTACCTACTCCCCAACACAACGCACAAAGGTAAGGGACACTAGTGTATTAAGACTTCTACGCAATACAACTACACAACTACAAAGGGTAACACAAAAGGGCCAAACGGGATAAATGTGACCTTCGGACTTAGAGCAAGTAAGTGACATACAAGAAAGAGAAGAGTATTATCATGACGGAAGAATGCACAAATAAGCACATGAAAGTAACGCATTACATATACAAAGTAAATAGGCACATATATACAAAATATCGTTACACGACACTTACCTGTCCTTCCTAGGCAAGCTCCTTCAGCTGTCCAATCCAGGCCCCCATTGACCTCAGCGGTCTTCTTGCCTCGCTTCCTCCTCAGTATCCGACAAGTTATAAATTGCGCCCTCAGCCAGGGGCAATTCGGATACTGGTCGGGTTTACATAGCGCTCCGTTGCCTTATAGAGAACATGACAGCGTTACCCGGCTGTACCGACCAGCAGCCGACAGCCAGCCGGTCGCGGTGTAGGGCGGCTGCCGACTGACTAGGCTGTTCGAAAGAACGCGCACAACGCGCGCATACACGCCGCGTTGTGGCGGCTGAGCAAAGATGGACCGGGGCGCGCGCGGTGCAGCCAGCAGCCACCGTCGCCAGATGCTTCAGGGCTCTGCTAGTTCCAAGGTAAAGAAACCCTTCGGGCCTCCGTTAGTTGCAAACAAGATTTTTTTGGTTTTC